CGTCAGTATAACTGGTCTATTGTTACCTGGATCACCATGCTTTCCCTTTTTGAATATTGGCACATCGTCACCGCTATTCTAGTCTTCCAGAATTTCCTTCTATTCCAAGATTTATTAAAATTAACACCAGTGGGTCAGAGAGCTCCTCAGCCACCTCTTTTAGGATTCTTGGGTATAGGTTATCTGGGCCTGGTAATTTAAAAATGTTTATCTCTCGTAACATCCTAACATCCTCCTCAGTTACTAGCGGATTGAAAAGTACTTCACAAGCCTCGTATAATGTGACACCATCATCCTGCTTCCTTCCAAATACAGAACAGAAGTATTTATTAAATATTTTTGCCTTTTCTGCATCATAGACAATTTTACCATCTCCATCTAGTCATAGACAAATACAATTGCTAGGATTTCTTTTGTTTCTAATATACTTTACAAGCACCTCATTATCCTTAGCCTGTATCTTTCCCAGCAGTCTTTCACTTCCCTTTTCAATTTTCTGTACTTCATAACTTCCAGTGTATATCTATTTCTACCTATTTCCCTCTTTCTCCACTTGTTATATGTTGCTCCCCCTCAACCCCCAATTGCTGCCTTCATTTTGCCAGTTGAACCGGGACTTTAGCCAAAGTTGTCATCTTTCTTGATTGTGAATTATGGCTTTTTAGCCATCTAATAAACGCTTAACCCCCAATTTTCATTCATATTTTTCTGCCTAATTTTTTCCTCACCATCAGTTTAATTCATAATTTTCCTCAGCTTTGGGAAATTAGGCCCAGACCCTCAAAGGAGGTAAGCACCTAAATACCTTTTAGGATATTGGCCATAGCCTTTTTGAAGCACTAAGTCTGTATGTGTGGATATATATAAGTAAAATCTGGTTGAGACTATCTTTTGTTTTCTCTTATTAAATGTAACCAGGTCATGATCACTGGTCCCTATGCAACCATCAACTTCCAGGCCAATGATTAATTAATCTGTATCTATCACAATGGTGTCCAAAATAGTTACCCTGTGTTGGATGCAATACTTTTTGTGTTAGAAAATTATCATCTATAATTTTTGGAAACTCTGATTAACTACTATCTGAATGAGACATACAGCATATGTCTCTCAAATTGAAGTCCACCCATGACAGGAACAGTTTTTCGTTAGGGATTTGTAAAACATGGAAATTATCTATAAGGTGGCTACTGTACCATTTGTGGGCACTGCAAGATTCCTTGCAGCCACAATACATCTGGCTACTGCTAGGAAACTGTTGGTGGGATTGTTGCAGCTTCAGTCGAGGTTGCAGTCAGCATAGGGAGCAGGTGCGGAGCTGGGATTCCAGCTACTAATTCAGATTATATCAGAGAGAGAGTATGGGTCCCACATGTTCTCTGCAGAGTTTCTTTCTACTGCCTCTGCTCTTCCAACACCACCAGTAATGGGAAAGAGGAGTTTCTGAGCTGGGGAGATGTTTTGAAGTAGGAGGTAAGGTGAGCGCTAGACAAGGTTTCTGAACCTTATAGTGTCGTAGAGTGGTTGCCTAGGTTGGCAAAAATATAAACAAATTTACTACATAACCTCACTTACCTCCATTTCTCCTCAAAAATGCACTTCTTCCTTTGCCTTCCTACTCATTTTAGTGTTATTACTCCCATATCTGTAGTGGAGAGGAAGGGGGGCATAGGTGATACTGCTAACCCAGACCCCTGGGAATGGGGGTAAGTCACAGTTAGTGCCTCTCTTTGGGCATACATTGAAAACAACTGGGGCTGCAGGTGTTCCACATGTTTAAAAATCACCCTCAGGGTGTTTTGGATCAGGTACCTAAAAACTGAAGAATCTGAAATCAGTGCTTACTTTTGAAAATGTGGCTGTTGGCCTTTTCCCAGAACAGAATGACATGCTGGAAGGATAAGGACCTACCTTAAAAGAGGTCTATTATTTCTGCCTATTCTCACCACAGGATTCCAGTCAATATATTCTACTGGGTTATGGAACTGGTATAAGAGAGAACTTATAAGTATGATCAAGGCAGCAGTGTGCATGAGGAGGAGTGTATATGTGACAGGTAGGGAGAAAGTAGGGCTGTATTGATGGCATAAGTTAAAAATAGAAGGGGTGGGGGAGAGAATGAGGATGTGGATGGGGAGAAAATAAATCAGAGAAGGATGAAGGGGGAGATGATGAGAGAACAAAACCCAGAATTAGAAAAGGAGGAAGAAGTGGGATGGTAAGAAAGTGAGGAAAAGAGGAAACAATTATTATACACTACAGGAGAATAAGTTGGAGGGAAACCAAAAATGATAGAAAATTTACACCAAAAATGATGTGTGTGGTGGGAGGAAGGAATGACAGAAAGGAAAGAAAGAGCAGACTTAACACAACACAGATCTGGTGGGTACTTAATATAAAACTGCTTTAATGCCAGAATGTTAGACTGAGCAGCAATAAAACGTAAAATATAGGATGGGATAAAATAGAGGGGGCAGCACACACAGTGTAGTTTATCTAAGGCAGCAAAATGCCTACAGCAGGCGGCAGGCCCCAGGAATGGGTGTGAGCAGGATCTAGTTGAAACAGGAGAGGTTCTGAGCCAGGGTGGAGGACCATTTCAGAAGAGAAGGGTTCAGAGCTGTGCGCAGGCTGGATAGGAAGGATTTTTTGGGGTGAGGAGGAGGATGGATCCTAGAAGGAGGGGAATGGTTTTGAGCTGATGGAGGGGAAGGAAGTCTGAGCCTGGTAGGTTCAGGTAGCAGTGGATAGATGTGAGCCTAGGATGTGGGGTTCAGATGGAAAGAGGTGGGGGTAGGGGGACGGATTGAAGGGAGCCAAAGGAACTTATATGGGTTCTGGGCTGGCAGAGTTGAGTGGGGATGAATTGGTGGGTGGGAGGCAGGGAGAGACAGACAAACAATAGAGGATATTGGTGGGTAAGGACAATAAGACCATACAGGGTCTTGGAAATAAATATTAGCTCCTAAAGGGTCACAGAGGGATATTGTTTTTTCTCTCCCCTGCCCCTTAAGAGTGCGTGTGTGGGGGGGGGGCTTTCCCCCTCCACCTTCTCTTTGACTCCCCCTCTCTGTTTCAGGTAACTTTGAACAACGGTCTCTCCTGTGGGCCCGGGGATGGGGAGGCGGCAGGACGGGGCGGGGAGCGGGGAGCTGGTGGGGGGGGGGGGCTCCTACCTGCAGCCCCATCAAGTATTTTGGACACCGCCAGTAGTAATTCAAAACCGAGGTCCTGGCCGCAGGGGTGGGGTGTCTGTGTGTGTGTGTGTGTGTGGGGGGGTCCTGCTAAAAGCGAAGCTCTGCGTGGGAGGGCGAGCCCAGCGCTGCCGTTTTCGGCTCGGGGTGGCCGCTTCCCTTGCTGGTGGCTGGGCCGTGCCCGCGGTGGGGACTGGAGGGCGGGATCCCAGAGCTCAACAACAAGGCGCGGCCAGAGCCTCTCCTCTCGCACGTGCACACAAAGGGACCCGGAGCCGCCGCCGCCGCCGCCGCCGCTTCTTCCCACCGGGCTAATGACTCCTCTCCCCCCTCCCTCCCCTCTGTCACCCTCCTCCTCCAAAACAAAAACGCGCGCGCACACACACACACACACACACACACACACCCCGTGCAGGGGAGTCCGCAGCACCTCGCCTAGGCGTAGGGCTGGTTCCTGCAACTTCTAGCCCCTTCTCTGATGTGAGTCACAGCGAGGTTCACTTTCTGGGGGTGGGAGTGCGTCACTGCTGGTTAGCGAGGGGGTGCAGGGGTTGCAGCTCAGGACTGATTTGATTTCTCTCTCTCTCTCTCTCTCTGTCGCCCCCCCCCCTCCCCCGGCACTCCGTCTGAATTGGGCTGGAAAGTTGCGAAGCGGGGTGGGCGGCATGAGAAAGTTACACACAAAGCGAGGAGAGCGCCTTTGTTCTGCTGGGGGGTGGAGGGGGGACCTTTGGAGAGGGTGGCTGAGCCAGACACATACAGGTCAGGAACGATCGACAGCGATTAGCCTTTCCCGTCAAACACCTCCCTCCACCCAAAGGAGCCAGGCGCTTGGAGGAGGAGGAGGAGGAAAGCGGAAGGTGTATCACACCAAGGTGAGTTGCGATTTACTCTGCTTTTCTTTTGTCCTGTTGCGCAACTAACACGCCGTCCATCCCACTCCACCCGGGGTCCTTCCCAGGACAGTGAAACTTAAACAGAAAGTTAGCGCACAAGGTTGCTGCCCATGGCGACTATCTGCTCCATCGCAGATGAAATGGAGAGAGCGAGAGCGGGTCCTAGAGCCAGAAACGGCCTTTCTTTTCCTTGGGGTGGAAGGGGCTGTCTAATTTTCCTGGCTAAATCGTCGGCATCAAGGAGCAAGTGAAAGGGGTTCAAGCTCTGAGGGCGGTGTGATTTATTTGTGCAGATAATGAATGGGATGGGCCCCGGGCAGGGCTTCTGGAAATCCCCCGTCTTCCTGGCTGCAGATTAGGTTTGGGGCTCTTGTCTGTTGTTACCTTTTCCTCCTCTTCTGGTTTTGTTTGGAGAGGGGCTGGGTAGATGGTCTGGTGGCTGGGGGACAGGTGAAGGGGCAGTGTGGTTTTTGCACTTTTTTTTTTTGGTTTGCCAGGGGATGCTGCTGGCACCATCTCTGTGGTTTGCGCAACAGGTAGAGATGCCAAAGGCTGGAAATATCTTTTTGTTGGTGGTCTCGTGGCCGGGATTAAGCTTTTGTTCTGAAGGCTGGATGTCTCCACAAGTGAAAGGACAAAGTCTTGCCAAATCCACTCGTGTGTGTGCGTGTGTGCCTGTAAATGGACCCTTTCTTCTCTCGTTTTTATATTTTCCTTTAATCTACATTTGTCCTTCAGACTGTAGAAGACCAAACTGACCGAAACCAGATACCAAGGGGATTGTTCTCAGTGATTGTCAAGGGAATCCAAACAAAGAGGTGCATCTACCGGAAATAATGATTTGAGAGATGTTTCTCTCCCTGTCTCTCTCTCTCTCCCTCCCCCCCCCCCCCATTGAAATTGTTTTTCTGGGAGGCTCAGTTAGCAGGAAGTTTGGATTTGGGAGCCTGCTAGAGATGGGGAGGACTAACATTTGCAGTGTTAATTGAATGGAGGAAGAAGAAGAGGGGAAGGGCAGTGTTGGACCTGAGTTGCTCCTTTGGATACGCAAGGACTGGGCTGGGGGAGGGAAAGGGGGGAGAGGCAGAGAGGAACCTGCTGCCGCTTGCCGGCTCTTTGTCTGCTCAGGGAACTTGAACAAAAGGAGAAACTCGGATGAACTCTCCATCTCTCTCCTCTTCTGGGTTATCTAATCTTCGGGAACTTTATCCAGAGAGAATTGCCCAACTTCCTCCAAGCTTTCTCATTACTTACAAAACAAACGGCCCCACCGTGGCCTCATAAGGAATTCCCTCGATTTCGTTTTCAGAGTTTAAAGAAGGGAGAAGGTGAGTTTTTCTCCTAGGGTTTATTTGCTCTTTTCTCCCCTCTCCCTGTTACAGGCTTCAGAGTGAATTGAAAGTGTGAAGTGCGGGTGCTCTAGAGGGAAATCACAGGCTGGAGGAATCTTTTTTCTTTCTTTGTACTTATGTAACAGCACATGGAAGTATTGTTTTATGACGGCAACGCAGCTATTCCGTATCTACTTACAATAGATTGGTGGACGCTAGTCGGTCCTGGCCCCGTGCAGGCTTTCTTTAGGATATAGAGAACTTTAAGAGTCTGGGTGTACTTTTTCCTGGGAGGAGGAAGGATCCGAACAGGAAAACTTCCCAGGATTAGGGGAATAATCGGAACAAAAAATGTTCAGAAATGCTGGCAGCAAAATCTGGCGGGGTGGGGGGTGACGAGGGGTGTTTTAGTGGTAGGGGGAGAGCCCAGTAACGGTAGGGTGGGGGATGTGTAGTAAATTTGTGGAACTGTGGGTAAGATGCTGGGAAGTGCCCGGTATTTGGACACTGCAAATACGGTGAGGATAGGGGACAGGTAGAGTAAGGTGTGCAGGAGGGCATAGGTGCAACCACATACAACCAGTCTGGGGAACGGAGTAGAGACTAGGAAGGAGAATTTTGTTCAATTTACGATGGTGAATTTAGGATGGTCAGACCAGGCTGGTCCCAAGTGAAACTCCCTTCACCTCCACAGTATTTTTTTAACCAATGGCCTTAAAACAAAACAGAAAACCAAACCTTAATTGGTTATTTATTGTAGTGTTTTAGCATTTCTGCTTTCTATTAAATACTCCAACTTTGGAAAACTTATACTGTCTTCCTTTTTTCAGAGTAGCAGCCGTGTTAGTCTGTGTTCGCAAAAAGAAAAGGAGTACTTGTGGCACCTTAGAGACTAACACATTTATTTGAGCATAAGCTTTCGTGAGCTATGGCTCACTTCATCGGATACTGTCTTCCTTGTATTTCTTCTTTTCACTTCCTTCCCTTTTTTTGGTGTGTACATCTTAGCTATTGTTTTTTCCATTTCCCCTCACTTTTTCTACATTGTGTAATAACTGCTCGTTCTCTTCCCTTCATCCCACTCTGCCACCTTCCCCCTTTTTTCCCCCCTGTGGTGTTCTCTTCCTCCTCTGCGCATCTCTCTCTCCACCCCCACTACCTCTCTGTTCTTCTCCTTTTTATTTCCCATTGCCACAAATGTCCCTGTACTTTTCCAGTCTCCAACTATGGTCACACATTCTCCTCTCTCCTCTCACATGCTAGGGTCTCTCCCCTCTCCCAAACCATGCACACGGGCACACACACCCGCTCAAAGGTGCAGGCTCCTTCCCTACTCTTCCCCTCACCCTCCAAATAACTTTCTCTTTCACTCTCACAGGTATGTAGGCTCCCCCTTTACATACACAGGACTCATTACACAAAATCCCCCCCCCACACACACTTCCCCCCACCAAGCCTCCTCTCCCCTACACTGGTGCAGTCTCCCATCCTCCTCCCTATAGGCATGCCTCATCCTCTCCACAAAGGGTTTCTCTATTTCTCATCCTCCCTCTGCTATGTAGAAGTTTGTTCTCCTCTCTCCTTCCTTCCCACCCCAACCCTGGCAGCACAAAAACAGGTTCCCTTAACGCCCACCCCCATCAACACACACAACCCTTGTCTGCACCATCATTTCCCTCCCCCCCTAAAATTTCCCATTGCTGCTACCACTGAAGGAGCCACACCAGAGGCAGGAGCAGTGGGAACACTAGTGTAGACAAGCTGCTGCTTTAAATTGCTTTGTCATCTGTTCTGTGTAGGGCCAGGTCTCAGCAGCAACATTTGAAATATTGCTAGCACCTTGTCTATACTAGCACTCCCGCTGGTGGAGATGCAATACTAGGAAATCTTAGCTGGGGGGAAGGCTACTGTGGACAAGGCTTTCGGTTCTGCTCTGCCCCACCCCAGTGTCTGAGCATGTGCACTCCCTTACTTGTCACCGTCTCCCGGATACTTTCTTACTTCCCATATCTTTCTAACTTCAGGCTTTAGAAATATTTCTGAGGCCTTTTGAAGATCCTCTAGTCACTTTTCCCCTTAATGCTTTAGGGTTTTCTAAGATGTAAGAGTATTCATTGTGTAAAGAAATACCCATGCCTGTTTCACAAGGTATTGAAAGTACTAAATAATAATATCCAACTGGATTCTTTTGTAGTATTCCAACATGATGAAGTTTTCCAAGTTTAAGCAATCACCAAATTTAAATTTAGAATATGAACAAATCGTCTATTAAATAAAACAGCTGAAGTTATTCAAATGCTAGATTGTAACTTTGATATTTATACTTGAGCCAGGAATGGTTCTATATGTCAGAATTACTATATAGTATTATTGCTCATGTGTTTAGAACTAACAATCACTCATTAATTTTATCTGAATAGGTAAAGTGTGATTGTCAGAGAAGCATGATGGCTGCCAAAACATCTTACAGGAATAGGTGCCATATTGCATTTGCTCTTCAAATGGTGGAATACGGCTGTGGATACTTTAGTGGGGATTAACAGAGTACAAACACTGAATGACCAGAGACATCAAACATCATCATTTGGATTTATACATCTATTAATAAACTGATAAAACTGGTGATAGGGCTCTTGAAGAAATCAGAAAATATGGAAGGTACTGTTGAAAATGGTCTGGAGGAGATGGCTTTGTGACAATGATATTCTACAATTAAAATAAGGTAGGTATGTTCTCTAATCATTGCAAGACATATTTTTATCCATTGAAAGATTAAATAATCTGTTTTCATTGTAGACAAACTTGTATTTGTTCTTTCCATTTTCTTTTATAGCTATCAATAGCATTATGTGGTGTAACAGAGGAATGTCTCTCTAATTTTGCATGTAACATACATTTCTTAAATTTAGACAGAATACAGTAAGTTAATACACTATTTATGGCCTGATTTTTTTCAGAGGTATTGAATACCCACAAATCCCTTTGAAATCAGTGAGAATTAGAAGTGCTGGGAATCTCTAAAATCAAGCCACTAACTTTTAAGAAAAGAAAGATTAAAAACAGTTTAAACATATCATGACTGTAGGAAATGTAACAGAATTGCCATTTAAAGGGGCAATCCTGCATTGAATTCAGTCTAAAATAAGTGCGTTCTCTTTAAAATACATAAATAAAAATTACCACCCTCAAAGCAAACATTTTTACAGAAGTTAGGATCAGTAAAATTTTTCATTAACAAAAGTAAAATGAAAAGTTTTTTTTTTGTTTTTTTTAGTTTGGATTTAAACATTCTTGTTCTACCGTATTTATTTGCAATTCAGATCTTACAGCATTGTGGGAGTTGATGAATCTGGACAGTTGAACCTGACCTCATTCTCTTTTCGTCGCTCAAACTGAGAGACAAGCAAAAACTAAGGTTTATGGAGAAAAAGTAAACTATTAAACATGGAATAACGTCATGAATCTAAGATGTTAATAATATAGTTTGGGAACTCTATGGTGTCTCTAAATTAATTATGAAGTTTGGAAAGAGAATCATGAGTTTTCAGTGCAAAAAAGACTTGATATCAGTTTGATACTTGTTTTGTATGGAATGTCTTTACAACATAGTATGAACAATATTAAAATGGTTGTTTTAGACGTATCCTTTCCCTCCTCTGGCTTGTACAAGATGTAGGGTAGACAAGTGTACATCATCTCAAGAAAAGTCCTGAGCTGGTTGGCCTAGTTTAGAGCAAAATTAGAAATCTGAACAAATAATCACTTTTTATCCTTTCCAGCTGTAAAGAGAGACTGATTGTCTTTGTGCTTGTTTTGTGTATAGTTACCTGCACCTGATGGGTTTTTTTTGTAAAGTAATGAGGATGTACCTTTTTATTTCTGTTGCTTACTGAGGCTATGATCTTGCAAAGTACTGAATGCCCTTAGTACTGAATGCCTAGATATGTACCCTTAAAATTTGTTTTGTGGACATTTCTTCTGGAACTTGGGATACTTTAAATCAGCAGTATGGAAGTCTTTGTTTTCAAGATTCACCACAAAGAAAGTACTGGGCTGTTCGTAAAAAGATCTGTGCTGCATGAAATTTTGCCATTTAGCATCAACTCACAGCAAAAGCTCAGTCGTTAAGTTATAAAATTTTCAAAAAAACTTGTTTTCAGTGAAGATAAGTTCTCTTCCTCATCAGTTGCTTACCTCTTACCAATTTACAGCTCTTTGCCTTTTACTATTTTTTCTAATAAATGGAAAATGTGATTTATTTTTTACATCTATTTGAAATCTGTTAATTTGATCAAAATTTGATAACTGGAGCAAAAATTTATATAAATCTTTAAGAAGAGATGACTACTGTGCTTTACAATTATTTGAGTCTTTGGTGTTATTGAAGTTTCTTGCTGTCATGGTTTTCAGGACATACAAAACAAATTACTGTATGTTTTTCTTGTAATACTTTGATTTGCATTTGCATTACATTTCTATCATTAATATCTCAGGGACTGAAATAAGATTTAAGGATAAAAAATACAATTTGTTATTTCATATTACTTTGGACCACTTTCAGGAAAAATGAAAAGCAGGATTCAAAGAGAGAGAAGGAAAAATACAATGGTTAGAGAATGCTTTCGAGTTACTTTATTAAGTGAAATAAGGTCTCACATTACAACTGACCAAAGTCAGGGAGAAAACCTTATGCTATAAAGTTGTCTTCCGATCCACCTCAGTTCTCATTATTCAACCTGTTCTCATTATTCAGTGACATCATAAGAAGAACTTTTGACCCCACAAGCTTTGTTTGTAAGAAATGCTCTTTTTCCACATTCTTTTTATTTCTTATTGACGTGAAAATGACCATGGAAATGACAAAAAGCAACAGTTAGAAGTGGAAGTTAGAGAAGAGAATATAAAAGGGATGCAAAGTGCTTTCACAGTCTGTCATGGATGGTTAAATTGTAATAGTGATCACTGGGAAGAAAGGAAGGAAGAAACGGGGATTGTTGTAACTTCTGTCTCATAGGTACTTAAAGGTGTGGTGCAGTTGGATGTTAAGGTGAATAGCGGTTATGCAGAGGAGGGGAGAGATTGCCCTCTCCTATAGGAAAAACCTGCAGGTTGGGGCCCTGCAGAAAGGAAAATTCAGTGAGGTCCTGTCCCCTCCCCCTTCATTTCACTTCCTCCTTGAGTCATCCTCCCTTCCCCACAAAAGAATGAGTTCTCCAGTTCTTTTAGAAGAAAGAACCCGAGATCTGCACAAATTCTCATTGACTATTTGTCACAGGCCCCTGTACCTTGTGTTAGCTCTGTGGGGCCTTTCTCATTTTCAGCAGAACAGCTCCAGTGGACCAATGTTGCCTGAGCTTCCTTCACTGGCAGCTGCCCCCAACATAGCATTTGGGGAACAGTGAGAGTTTCCATGTTTAGACTATGAGGGCAACTTAATGCAACTTTGAGATTGAGATTCCTGGCCTCAAGGAGGGGTCTTTAGTAGCCCAGAGACTGGGTATATAGGGCAGATAGTGCCTCCGAAGTGGTTGACCCCATATTTTACACTGGGAAAGTGGTGAGAAAGATGTATGGAAGGGCTCCTCTGCATGCAGATGCACAGAATGTAGTCTGGTTTATTGTCTCTAATTGTACAGATTTTTACATTTACCTTTGGTGCTAAAGAAAAGGCATCAATCCATTGTTTTTATGTCTTATTTTGCTCAGTGCTGATTCATATTGACATCCGTTATAGTTCATAATTATAGCTAAAAATACAGTATTTTCTTCTTCCATTCTGTATCACTTCACTGGTTTGTCAATATATCTAGCATTCTTAAACTGAATTATTAGAATTTTATAGGATCAGTATAAATATCGGGCCTTAATCTTTGTGAAAAAATTATATTGACTTCATGAAAAGAGAATGGTTTGTGGTCCAGTAAATGCTGAACAACGTTAGAATGGAAGAATTACTGTATGTGAATTATGTAACCATGTTTTTGTTTGTTTTGTTTTTTGTTTTTTTTTAAAGTAATACCTGTATATTAGAGCTCTGACTCAGAAATATTGAGGGGCAGCAGATTGCAGAAGCAAAGCTTAAGCACCAGCATGCAAGGCACTTGCTTTAAAATGCTAAGTTTATAGGTCAGGATGGACGTGAATAGTTATTGGAATACATTTGTTTTCATCTTGCTCTATTTTTCATCTCAGTTGTATTTATTTTTATATAACTGGATGGTGTTTCCAACCCACTAGCAGACTCTATTCTGATCTTTTGTACTTAAACGGACATTATTTGAAATTTGCTGCAGACCTTCTGTGAAGCCTGAGCTGTATGCTATTGTGCTTGGTATCTTTCCCTTTCGTTGATTAAAATACATAGACATGTTTAGGTTTCTAGGTGGGATTGAGAACTCTGTCTTTTAACAGAGAATCAGATATGGCCATAGAGGGAGAAACTTTCCCCTATATGGTTACAATGCTACTGCAAGTGCAGATTCTATGTGCATAACTGTACACATTGTAGAGATCGCTAGGAAAATACTGTAATTACTTACTGTACAGAAATAAAACACTTCAATCATTTGCCTTAAATCAGAATGGTCCTGTTGAAAGTCACATATGCAACTTTTCAAAATGGGTGAAATTATATATAATTACAGTAAACATTTACATGTTATATGTATTGTATTTCATATGTTTCAAAATGTTATAATCTCTTATTCTATTCATTTTATTGTCTGTTTTACAACATTATGTAATGTTTGTAAAGATCTTGGTAGATGGAAAGCACTAGGCAAGTGCTGAATATTATTGTTTTGGATACAAACATGAGTATTTTCCAGTGTGTGGAAATAATGAATCAGCGCTTTAGTATACCTAAGAACTGGACACAGGAGTGTGAATTTTGCTAAATGTCTTTACACCTAAATGCAGTGTTGGACACTAAGCCAAGTGCTACAGTCATGAAAGATATTTATTTAGATAGAAGCACACTTTTGAATATCTAATTCCGGTTGTGTTAAATGTCTCCAAATAAAAGATGTTGTTAATACTGGTAATATATTTAACATGCAAAAAAGTATTTCAAACTATCAATCAAGCAAAAATAAAGAAAAAAATATTAACTCTTAATTTCTTTCTGTTCTGAAATGTTACTTTAGTCATCATGAGTATAGCACTTGTAGCAGTCATAGATAGGTAATGCTGGTTGTAAGATGGCACTTGAAGAGTTGATCTTCTGTGGCTGTTACTGGCTGTGTGTTCACACTTTTTTGCTGTATCTTTCTTTTTAAGTAGGAAACATTCATTTAGCATTTTAAGGATTAAATCAAGAAGCACTGAGGAATGCCTAGTGCCAATACAAAAATATCTAATTTTTTAAAAATAGATTTTTGGGTAAAATTTTCAGAAGTGACAGTGACTTAGAGAGATAAGGTGGGTGAAGTAATATCTCTTGTTGGACCAACTTCCGTTCGTGAGAGACACAAGCTTTTGAGTTTATACAGAGCTGAATAAAGATTATCTTTGTAATTATCTCTGTGTAAACTCGAAAGATTATCTTTCCTCACTAACAGAAGTTGGTCCAATAGAAGATATTACGTCTCTTGTGTCTCTAATATCCTGGGACTGACATGGTTACAACAACACTTCATACTAGTTACTTAGTCTCCTGAGTCCCATTTTCAAAAGTGACTTGGTCCCTTAGGTGCTTTGAATAAAATTTTACCCACAGAAACTTGTCCATTAGGAACTTTGAGTAAAATTTTACCCAGAGACTTAAACAAATACCCCAAGTTGTAGGAAAAATATTTAAACTTATGGCTTAACTGGTATGCCAAGTGTGGAAAAATAGTACCAATGTATCTGTGCACAGACAGGAAAACTGAAGCTCTAAGATTTATTGGATCTCTTGTGACCTTTCTTGACCTTTGATTGCAAAAGGATGGACAAGCGAACCCAAGAGGTTCTCTTTAACTTTATCTCTGAGTATTTTATGAGAGATCTAAACAGGAAGCTATTCAATATTACTGTTAGTGCATTAATAATTTATGAAAATATGCTGGCTGACAAGCATTGACATGTTCAGCGCTGCAAAGATAAGCCATCCTGAGTAGATTTATAGTATGTGAATTGCTTATTTTTGGTAGAGCTCTATTTGCATAATTTTAAGTGAACTTGCTTGAGTTTTCAAACCCATTAGTTGGTGGGACACTAGTTTGCCATCCTACAAAAGCTGAGCACTTCTGTTATCTTGTGGGACTTCTTTTGGGGGAAAAGATATGGCTGATATGAAAGTAGGCATATTTATACCTCTGTGATCATTCAGGTGGATGTTTAAATGCAAATACTAAGAGGTGGGGTCACATAACTTCCTAAAGATATTAATTCTAGTTCAGGCCACAGGTTCTCTTGATGTCGCTGGAAACAACACT